AGTGGGGAACAGCTGGTGAGGGAACATCTGCAGTTGGACCATGGGGTCTCATGGGAGAAGAGTGTAGAGCAGCATAAATCATTTTCACTCTGACTGTCCTAATAACGCTGTCTGCTCCTGCAGCAGGCACACTGAGGAGAAAAATCCACATCCTCCTGTTTAAACATGCACCTGCGTGTGTGTGTGTGTGTGTCAGTGTGTGTCCTCATTGTTGTTCTGCAGATGACGTGTGTGTTTGCACACTCCAGAGTGTTCTCTGTAAAATAATCTGTTTAGACTCTAAAATGGTTTAAAATTGTTTTTTAAATTCATCATCAGTTATATATTTGCTGTAATTTCTCGGCTTTTAGCAACTCGTTTTTTGTTTTTTTCTGCTAATTGAAAAAAGCATATTTTTTAGTGTGGGTGATGACAAATTTGCAATGTTTGCTATTTTTTTTCATAATTTTGATGTAAAGCAAAATAGCAATAGTGCTGTTGTGCAGTTTTTGTTTTTTTGGCCTCATCTGATTGCATTGGGTTATTCCATGTTTAATAACAGCGTTGTAGTACTTCAGTCTCACCTCATGGTGGCGTGCTGGTTCTGGGGAAGCAGGTTGTAGCAGGGCTGCATGCCGCTCACAGCCACGGCCACGGCTCCTTGTCCAGGCGGACAGGAGACATAGAGTGGCTGCTGCTGGTACGACTGCTGCGGCACCTGCTGCAGGAAACACACACACACACACACACACACACACACACACACACACACACACACACACACAGTGTATGAACTATTATACTGTCAACATGGTGTTCAGACTTACAGCACAACGTGTTCTATAATTAATATAGAAAATTAAAGCAGTGTTGATGATAATGAGGAGGAAACACTTTAGGGAGAATGAGGGAGACGGCAAAACTCACTGATTAAATTTATGACAACAAACAAAAAGTACCTGATATGACTGCAGGTGAGGGTACTGGACCATCATGCCTGGCATCTGGTTTCCAATATTGCTTTGCTGGTTGTCAGAGAGGGTGAGGTTGGGTGTTGGCTGCACGCCCACTACAGTCTGGTAACTGGGCGCTGGGTTTGGCATCACTCCTTGGTAAACTATGAGAGAACGTTGAATAAAAAATTTTTAAGGAAAAATATCTTAAAATATTGGTAATTTTTTTTATATTTAACAAGATAAATAGTCAGAGTAGAAATTTGTTTTGAGTGGCTGGGGCTCATAGGTCTCATCAGCTCCATCACTGTTTTAACCCATCTTTATGGACTTTTTATTTTATTTCAGATGTGTTTGTGTGTTTTCTCCAGGTACTCGGGTTTCCTCTACAGTATAAAAACAGGATTGGGTTCATTGTTCTATTTGAACTAGCGACAGCTATGAATGTGAGTGTGAATGGATGTTTAACATGGCCCTGATTGGACTGGTAAAGTGTCCAGGGTGTACTGGACGTAGCCCAGTCACTGCTGGGATTGTGTATACGGCCTCCCTGAAAAGAATTAAATGGTAGAAAAAAATAGTAGAGACTGTTTTTCTTCCAGATGTGTCTCCAGCAGAAATGGTTTTCTCCTCTTTAGCAGATACACTTATCTCATGAATTTAACACGCTCACGACTGGTCAAGTCTTCGTGAACAGAGCTGTGTTGAGCCACACTGATTTAACTGATTTAGCAGAGTAAAGCGTCTTAAGTATCCTGATAAATCTCATGCTCATACGGTGGAACGTTAGAAAAAAAAAAGATATTTGTGAGAATAAAGGCTGATTAGGAAGAAACACAGCAGCAGAGTGAAGGCCCTGGGATGTTTCTGTTATATCTCAGCAGCCCGAAGGCTCCAGGAACAAACCAGAAAGTCGATATATTTGATTTGGCCTGAGGCAAACTCAGGCTGCGCACTGGCCTGAGTTCAGATAAAAATCACATCTCTACTGTACCTGCTCACAGAAATCAAATTAACAGAGAAAACAATGGACAAAAGACAAGTCAAAGTCACACAGCAGCAGCCGCTCGCTCTGCGGTCCCACTACGACCTAAACGGGCTGAGCTCAATTCTCGGGGGCGGGGCAAAGAGACGGACTCTTTAAATGTCAAGGTGACAAAAGAAAATTGGAAATAGTGTCCCCTGTGACGGAGACACTGTACTCTCAGAGACAGGAGCGGAGAGGCTGTCTTTGTGAAGGAGAAAATACAGGCAGACAAAAGAAACGCTCACACGGGTCTATTTTTATTCTCCACCTTCAGACACAAACCAAGCGTGAAATGGTGACAATGTCAAACACAGGCACAGCAGCAGGAGGAGGGACAGCAGAGACAGAAGGTTGTTGGGTTGAACCTCGTTTTGACCGAGAAGCAAGCACACATGGAACCAGCTTTGAACCTGGGTGAGAAAGGTACTTATTTATTATTATTTGTTATTTACTCGCCCTACTTTTAGCTACACAGTATTATTATTCTTGCTGGGAATATTATTGGCTGACGTTTAACATCGAGGTGACTTGTGTTGGTTGATTCATAGTTTTCTAGTTTGTATTCAGTGTTTGGGTATATTTTTGTCTAACTCTCTCTTCATTGTCCTCCACACTGACAGGTGGGCTTCACGCTGCTGGTGAGGGGCTGAAAAAGAGACCGGTTCACTGTGAGATTCATAGAGGCCTCTCAGACAGCGTCCCGGCCCCGTCTCCAGCCTCTCCGACCACGTATGACATCGGCCCCGTCTCCAGCCTCTCCGACCACCTATGACATCACCTGACACTGATACAAACTCAGTGTCTTCACTTCAATTGAACCTTCTGTTTGTGTTAATGTTTCATGTGTTATTTTTAAAAAAAAGGATGAATTGCTGATATATTTGAACAGTCCCAATATAATCTAAATGAGCGGCAACACTACAAATGAATAAAACTGATGATAAAAAAGGTTATAAGCTCCTGTTATCGACTAAATGATTTCACCATCAATCATTCTGTCAATAAATGTCAAATACAGTAACATTGTGACAGGTTCTAATTCATCTGTTGCTACAAGTAACAACTGTGATTTTATCCAATTTCAATCAATCTGTCACACAGAAAAATCTTACTTTCTGGAGAAATCAATCACATCAATGGAGCAGAAAATAAAGAAAAATGATTTTCTCCAAACAAGGACAAAGAAAAGGTACATTTCCACTGCAGGGTCTAGAACCAGGAACATGGAACACGTTAAAATAGTATTACTGTACGTGGGCCGGACGTTTGCACCTATTTCTCCTCTCCTTGTGTCTCTACACACACATACACACACGCACACACACACACACTGCCTCCCTCGCTTTCACACACAAGGACTCCTCCTCCCCTCCACTGTCATCTACACACATCTACAGCGACAACCAGCTTGGAGCATTGGCTCACTGGTGATGGCGCTGTGTGACAAGCAGGCAGTTGGCACATGACCACTGCTGTCTCTCTTTATATTGCCAATATATTTGTTAAATTACATACATTTCAGTGTTTAAATAACTTGTATAAAATTGTATAATGTGTCAGCAACGAGGGGCATTCAGGTACCATTGGAAATTTGAGAATCGGACGACTAAGGCACTGAAACAGTGTGTTTAGGGGTCCGTGTATTTTGTCAGAAAATAGATTTGTTTGAGTATTTTTATTTCATATATTAGACAGATTTTCTGTTCAATTTGTTTTATATATTTTAATACTGTGCAGAGGGACTTCTGTTAATGACGGTGCCAAAACACAGGCAGACATTTTAAGCAAGAATCATTCAGTGCCTTACAGACAGCTTGTTATGACGGTCTCTAGTACTGTAGTACAGATGGGATTGTGATGACATCACTGTGATTTTTAACTATATCTTTCAACATCCTCAAGGGTCAGGTCCAGAGGAAAATGTTTTCCTCATTCCTGAGAGTACGACAACTGTCTGATGTAAACCAGAGGAAACAATCGTATCAGTTTTATTCCCCTGACAATTTACACAGTTACTGCTGCTGTTGCAGCTTCACCTTCAGCTCCGCACGTGCTTGAGCGTTTTTAATGAAGGAGGAAACAGCAGCCCGGACGAGGAGCTGGAGTCGTTTCTCAGAAATAATTGCTGTCCTTTGCCTTTTGTAGGTCAGCGTCATTTGTCCAACGTCTATTCCCAAAGTCCCCAGCAGGGAGGCTGAGGATGCAGTGGGCAGATGACAGAATAGTGCCGCAGTGTAGTGTAGTGTAGAGAGAGAGGGTGTGTGTGTGTGTGTGTGTGTGTGTGCAGCAGCTGCTAACAATCTCAACTCCTGCCGCGAAGAAAGGAAAACAGAATAATCAGGTGGATGAGTGCCGCAGAAAACGTGAAGTGATGAAAACAAACAAAACGCAAGATTTGTCCTTCAGTAGAAGTAGAAAGAACACCAGACAGACACCAAGACAGTGTCTGAGAAATGAACAGAGTGCTGTCAGAGCAAGTCTGAGAATTCAGCAGCTTTTCCTAAGATCTTCATTAAATCTTCTTTTAGTTGGTGTTTGTATCTCTCAAAATCTGCTGTTTCCCACATGTCCAGAGAAGAGTTTACAGAACGCAGCTTTTGTTTGATCAAACTATTTGTTTATTTCTACGACCACTAACAGACAGACTGTAAAGCAGTTGTTCTTAAACAGTGGTACGAGGACAACAGCAGGGCAAATGAAAGGAAGGGCCTAAAAACAGATTCAACAGGACTGTGTTTTTGCAGAGACAACCACACCTTACCTTCAGGTTTAGATGAGACACGTAGTTGTTAACATGTATGCTGCTTATTCTACTCAGATGTGCATGTTTGCTCGGTCAGAGAACAAAATGAAGGTTTCAGCTGTATTGTTTCCTCATCGTGATGAACAGACTAATAACCTTATTATGAATAAATTATCTTTTTCATGTACTGTGCATAGCTGAACTGTTCACACTGGTATTTATACGTGGGTTTTCCGTGTCAAAAGTTTACCACGACTGACTATAATAAGTAGACTGCACATTAACGGATATGGTCGTGTCCTGCCAAGACTGCAACAGTCAGTCCACTAATCAATGACTGATCTATTATTGAATTAGTGAACAAGTGATAAATGAGTTTTGAAAAACCAAAATTGCTCTTTAATGTGAACATTATTTCTTTCCTGTTCTTACTGATTATTTTTATTATCTGGGGAAGTTTATTTTGATATTTTCTCAAAGTTTCTTACCTTGCTGCTGGGGCAGATTTTGGCTCTGAGGGCAGTTGTATGGCAGCGGGGTAACAGACGGTCGGTAATGCTGTAGCTGTTGTTGCTGCTGCTGCTGCTGGGTGGAGCAGTGTGGGTGGTGAGCTGAGGAGCAGTAACATGTGGACATCTGGAAGAAAACAGAAACTCTGGCTTGTTTTTGCAGCAGGAAGGAATCATGTTGATGAACCCATGAAGAAAAACAGTGTGTGTACCTGCTGGAGCGGCTGCTGAATGAACGCGTGCTGCTGCAGTACAGGCTGGTTCAGTGTGGGGCTGGGGAACCCAGCAGGACCTGGAGTAGCGCTGGTGAAGGCATGGTTGGGGCCTGGAGTTGAAATCTGAACCGGCTGACCCTGAAGCACCGCTGTGTGTCCTCCTGATGGCGCAGCCACCATGTAGTTAGCCACCTGCTGTGAAGGAGGTCCCTGCAGCAGCATAGGCGACATGTGAGGGTGGTACACAGTAGGGTAGTGACGGGCGTCTGGGGCTAGAGATCCGCTGTCAGTGGGGGGGGGCTGCGTCAGAGTCATGTGACTGAACTGGGTGTTTAGGACATCAGGCTGAACAGCAAGGAAAAAAAAACACAGTGTTAAAGTGAATTTAAATATGAGGATTTTGTTTGTTTTTTTATCTGATTTTGCTAAAACTACATGATGGCTTAGCTTAAATATTCAGTAAGAGTCTCTTTTTTGTATCGGTTGACATAAGAATTGGTTGATACTGGAATAAAAAATGATGTTTTTTTTAAATATAAAAAGTTTATCGGGCATCCCTAATATATATATATATTAGGGATGTATATTTTCTCTTTTTTTTTGCTTTTACATTTTCTTTTACCAACACTTAACTCAACTTTGAAAACAACAATGTTTTCTACACCAAAGACCAGAGAGAAAAAAACTGCATTACAGCTCAATATTCCCCCATTTAAAATAACTTGTTCAGTCACTTAATCACTTGTAACAAGAGAGAGACACTGTCCACAGCAAGCAGAAGATGATCTGCTCCCAGACTCTTCTCTCATCAGACATCTCCGCAGATCATCTGCCTAAATCCCAGCCTATCCTCTGCCTCTTCTACTTAAACACCAATGGTTCTTAACCTTGTTGGAGGTACTGACCCCCACCAGTTTCATTTGTGCATTCACCGAACCCTTCGATGATGGCCAAGCGGGGGGCGTGTCAGCACAAATAATATGAGACGGGTGTGTGTTTTGTCCTCCACCAAACCCCTGAGACTGACTCACCGAGCCCCTGGGGTTCGATCGAACCCAGGTTAAGAACCACTGTTCTACACCAACAACCTCCATGTCGTCTTTCATGAAGCCCACAAATCTCCTCAGAGGTCTTCCTCTTCTCCTCTTGCCTGGCAGCTCTATCCCCAACATCTTTTGATATATTGTGATATATTCACTAACTCTCCTCTGCTGTCCAGAACATCTCCACCTCTGAAGCTGAATCCTGATGTAACCCCATCACCAACTAGAACCCATCTATCATTCAGACTGCACACATAATCACTAAACTAATCCCTAGTCACTAAAAAATCGTGAACTTTTGAGATCATGCAGTAACAGTGGATCAACATTATTTTATGTGTCGACATAAAGTCACTTATCTTTATGGACTTTGGGGTGAGACTGCAATTTGGTGTTGGAAGAGTCTACACAACGACATACAAGAGTGGAATAGAACATCTTCCACAGACTAAAAAACAATGTCAAAGATGTCATTAGCTAATATGTTTGTCTTTGCGTCTTCGATGGATGCTCAGATAAAAAGAAAAAAACAAAACAAAACTGCTTCTTTGAAACGGCAGAGGTCTGAGGTCTGGTTTTACCAGGTCAAGTTACGCTGACATGTTGCTGGAAAAACAGTGTGTTTCCTTTTTAAAATCATGGATTATTCAGCATTAACATCTGGTGATGAATTAAATATTAATGGAACTTTCCACAGCCATAATTAGTCACAGGGGCATCACTTTAAAAAAAAATTAAAACCAGGTCAAAAATGAGGTTAAGTAAATGTATCATCGAAATCATGCCTAATGGATTCCTGCTCAATTTATAATTGATAAAAAAAATGAATCAAAAGAAAATGAAACATTACATAAAGCAATTTAAGTAGAGAGAACATTTATATGAAGCATTAACAAAATCAGAAACTCGCTTAAAGATCGCAGACACTGATAATGAATGAACAAGAGGTCAGAATTAGGTCAGTCAGAGATTCCTAGATAATGGGTTTAATTTGTGGTCTAAGGAAATGAAACAGACAAAGAAGAAGAAAAGTTGTGTACCACAGTAAACTGTTGGTTAGAACAGATGGGCAGAAACTGAGACGGAGGAAGACAATTAGGAGGAGGAAGAGGAGGATAAGAGACCGTCGGGTTGTGGACAGGCTCAGAAGACGGTTGGAAAGGAGGACAGATCGGCTGAGAAAAGAAAGATAGAAGAGATGGACAGAAAGACACGGAGTGAGACTTACGTAGAAACCACACAACTAGGCTGAGGCTGTGGCACTAATACTGTGGCTCTGAATGTCACAGGACACTTTAGCTAGCTCAGCAAAGCAAGAACAAATCTAAATGTCACACAGCTCTGAAGTATGGATCAAAAGAAGTTCAGACTTGAGGAAAAAATAAGGGTTGTTCACAAACCAGGAGATGGAATTGTTTTTAAAGATCAATAAGGTGGATTGAGATGATTTATCAAGATGTTCAGAAACATCCACACATACAACAGAGATGTGGGAGTGTTCCCTGCATTTTATGAGTGTAAGTGTAACCCCGTCACCCTGACCTGTGAGTGCAGATGATTGGTGGGCTGTTGCTGTCCTGCAGCAGCAGAGATGGGCTGCTGTGGGTTTTTCCCCTGCAGTAGGTTCCTGCCTGCAGCAGCATGAAGGACGACGCTTGGTGGGTTAAAGAGCACAGCACTGCCGTCAGGATGGAGGAAAGGTTTACCTGACAATTTCAGGAGAAAAAAAAGAAAGAAAAAAAGGCTGTTATGTGTGTGTGTGGCAGTAGAGGACAAACCGTCAACATGGTGGAGGTAGAAGCGTCAGGAATAGTTAAAAATCTGCAGCTTTGTGTGACTAATTTTTATAATCTATTTAAAAAAACAAAAAGCCAGCTAATGCTGTCTGTAAGAATTCACCAAAATGAAACAGCTTATGTTGAGCAGGAGGACTGCCAGGAAAAAATTATTGATTTAAAACTTTTTCTAACTACTGTATTTGGCAACACAATAATTTTGAAAGTATTGAGCGAACATATGAAGAGGTCATCACCTGTGTGCGGGTTCACCAGAACGCTGCCAGGTGGGATCCCTGAGGCTTCCAACGGTAACACATAGAAGTTAGTTGGGTCTGTAGATGGTAGTGGTGTTGGAGGCGGAGGTGGGAGTGAGGGGGCGCTCTTTATTATCTCAGTGTGTCCAGGACTTCTGGGGTCAGAGCTAGACTGTTGGACTAAGGGTGAGGTGGGAAAACTGGACCTGGACGGAGGATGTAGTGGGAGGGGCAACAGAGAGCTGGACGAAGAACCAACGCTACTGCAGGAATCTGAACCTGAGAAACAAAACAAACCAAACTGTTAAATGTTAAGCTTCCAAATTTTATACAAACAATAAGATTTTCCAGCACACTACTGGTTAATTTTTCCAGAACCAAATCAACCATGTCAATGTGCAAAGACGGACCAGGGGCCAGATTTTGAACATGAGCGTATACTTTGTATGGTGTTGACTGAGTGAGTGAATCAGTTTCTACTGGCTGCTCTGAGCTTCAGTGTTAAAAAATTCATGTGTTACGTGAATAAATAATGGATGCTAGGGTTTTTACAGTGATGTAGATTCATTAAGTGTCAGGAAATGAAATGATGAAGTGTAGATTAATGTCATAGGCGCCTTTTAATGTCTGATTTAATACACTTTTACCCTCACCAGGTGAACATTTACGATTTTTAACATTTACAGATGAAGACGAGGCTGTGATTAAATTATTTTCTGTGGTTTAAATAAGAATTTATTTTCCAATAAACATTATCTGCTGTTTTTACAGGCCATGATTCTAGGACTGTTTTCAGGAAAGGTCACTTTAGGGCAGAGAAGGAGGAAAAAGAGCAGATGCAGCAAGAGCAGAGCACGGATGTTTAAACTTTAAAATCCCACAACACAAAGAGGAGGGCAAACGGCTCATAAATAACTTGAAAAATAAATATATAAATGTTAAAGCTGCTGCTGTTGGGGTTTCTGGAAAAAAAAAATCATAAAATGTTGTGTATATCTGATCTGAGCCAATCAAGTAAGAAATACATCATATTGTGGAGTAAGCACTCAGGGCTGAGCAGCTTTAACTTCGTTCTGGCGACTTATACATTATGCATCTGCAGCTTTTATGCTGCTGCTGCTGCTGTTACACTCCTTCTTAAGAGCCTCGTCCATCACATTACTGCTGCTGCTTCTGCTCAGTAATTGGTTCTGACAGTTGTCCGGCTACAGCCAGACCTGCAGACTTCATCAGAGCAGCAGGACCACAAACATCTGTTCAGAGATGTCACCTTATTCCACAGAGACACTGCACTTTTGCTGTGATTCCATCATAAAAAACAAATAATTATCTCATCTCAAAGTAAAGTGAATAAAAGTAAAGAATATGTGTGACATGCCTCTGTTGGTGTCAATGCTTCATTAAACTCCACTGTGCTCCGAAAATGTGTGGAGGCAGCTTAGGCTTTTATTTATTTTTTATGAATTAGGATATAAAGAAAATTACCTTAGCACCATGTGGATCACATGGTAATTTATATTTAACTAATGGTATATTTTTTGGTATATTTGTAACCTAATATTTTACAATTCTAATCCAGAAAAACCATCTCTCAGTGTCACCTACAGTACAATACCTACCACACTAACTACAGCCCCTCTGAAAACCAGAGTTGCTCTACAGATTCTCAGGTATCACATCAGCTCGCTGATGATTTCTTATCTAAGAGCATGGGCTTGTCTTCATTGTTCCACTCTTGCCTGTTTTGGAGAGCCTCCCCGTGCTCTTGCTGCTGGTTGAGCTGTCCCCACGCACCAGGCTGGGGGTAATGCCACTGAAGCTGCTGGCTTTGGTGATTGCAGGCCGTGGAGCCAGACGGTTAGAGCTGTCTGAGCTGTCTGTGCTGCTCCATGGCCGTGGCTCACTGTGCCGGGGCAACATTTCCGTCTCAGAGCTGCTCTGTCTACTGGCACCTGACCGACCTGCCCTCAACCTGTGGACAGAGAAATGCTTCATCTGTGACGCCCTCATTACACAATAAACAAGGTCAGGAGTAAGAGACAATTCAGGATAAACTGGCCTTGAAAAACACTTTAAAATTGGTTTAAACAAGTTTGGTAAAGCAATTTTACTCAACTCTGGAGTACAGGGAAAAGAAAAAATTCTGATTATGAACACTCACCTAAACATCTGCCGCCTCTGCTGGCTGCTCATGCATGTTTCTTCACTCTGGGGACTGATGGAAGGAGGAGAGAGGGGTGAAGCAGAAGAAGACACCTGCCTTCAAAAACGCTGTTATAACAAAAAGCTGCCTTTGAAACAACAAATCACCAGGGTTGAGTGACCATATCAGAAGAATCTACTGTCAGGACTAGTTATAGTGTAGTCAGAAAACCAGGTTCTACACAAGTTTAATTTATAATAACTAGAACCAGACAATCATAGTGCTATGAACATTTTCATTCTTGAAAAAGAGTACTGTCTGAAGTATGTGCAGAACAATGCAGGCAATTAGTACCCGAAACACAGGACAGTACTAAGAACCACATCTCATATAAACATCGTTATACTGAAGAAGCTGGGGCAATGAAGACCAGGACTATTATTAACAAAACAGCACTAATTGTAAAGACAAAGACTTTGAAAGATGTCAAAGATTTTTTTTTTAATAATAAAACAAAGTTTCATTATTTGCATCAGTGCATCTTCACTGACCTTCTATCCAATACGAAGTGATCCGCCTGAAAAAAAGAAGAACAAAACAGAGACACACAGTTACGGTCTAATTATTTGATCGTATAGGTAATCATTTTTGACTGTTTATCATCATTTCATCTTTAGATTTAGAGTAAAATCTGCTGAACTCAGTTTGACTCTGCAGCCTGATATTTTAGTTGGATAAATTCATAAATGCTGCAATGGTAAATTGGCTGCCAAGAACCTACTGAATTTGCACATGAATAGAAACATCACAAAGATTTGTGCACGCCTCCACCCACCATCTCCTCCATCCCTTTCCTCCCCCCCCCCCCCCACCCCCCCCCCCCCCCCCCCACCCACCTCCACCACCACTGC